CCCACGCCATACAAGGAAGCCCAACTGGGCAGCAGTTAGGAAGGTTAAGTGAGCACATAAGCTTAATAGGCCTAAAGCCCATTTCGAACTGGGCTATTTATTTAGTTAATTAAAGGGGCGAATTYTAAGATGGAGTAGCAGATAGGATAGGGTCTTATTCCTATCCACTTAGAGAGTTCAGATCTGAATATGATTTAGATCTAGAAACCTCTTAATGAGATTATGAGAAAGCTAATCTAATCTGCAGATAAGATAAGGGTTTATCCCTATCACCTAAAGATAAGTCTTATCCAAATATGATTTGGATAAGCTGCTCTTAATTGGATTAGGAGCTGATCTTTTAGGTTAACAAAAGGAGGGGGCGGCAGCTTTTATGGGACACACAACATCAGATTTTCTTCAGTGCTGAAATCAAGAAGAGAGAATTCTGCACCTTGCGAATACTCTCTTGCCGCCTCCGTGCTCTTGCCGCCCTGTTTGCTAGTTCGATCTCCAGTTGTGGGAGAAGTCAAGATTGGATCTTGACATCAGTTCTTTGAGAAAGGATTGAAAAGAAGCTGTGCTCACGTACCATCTTGCTGATTCTTGCGAACGACAGAGTTCTTGGAGAAGAACACTGCTGATTATGCTCCATCCTGCACTTCGCCATCTTCAGTGGAGCAGTCTTTGGATCTTTCCTTGGGCGTGAACACCTCCATTGGGAGATATTACTTCTCCGTATCAGGTATAATTCTCTCCTACTCCTTTTGGTTCAGATCTGATTCAGTTTAAGGTTCAAGAATGATCCTTGAAAACATGATTTTCTAAATAGGGAATGCGATTCCCAGTTGAAGGGAGAGAAAAAATTTTGAAATTCGCCCTCTTATTCCGCAATCTTTGGGCGTCCATAGGATGGATCTCTCATCCCTTCAATTAGGGCACATGGGCTGACTGTATCTTATTATCTACATAATTTAGCCTTTTGTTGTTTTTGATCTGGTTCCTTTGTTGACTTCCCCAATCATATTAGTAAGTAAAATCTCTTTGATTCAGGAGCCAGTAGCACTAACATCTAAACTCTCAACAATGTTGGGGTGCAGACTCACTACCCAGCCTCTATATAGGCAATTCATTCATCCTGTATTTTGGCCTCTAAACCAGTCCACAATTCAGCCCAAACCCTTGATTAGGCACATACTCATGCAGTGAAGCCCATAACCAGAATACCAGATATATACCAAAATCCAAATCCATGGCAAATCCCAAGCCCATACCCAGTCCTAGGACTATCCATATCCATACACATATCCAAACACAAATCCATGACCTGCATACAAAACCATATCCATCAACGCATAGTTTTCAAGGCGCCAAGGCGAGGCTAGGTGACAGAGGGGCGCCTAGTTGCCTAGTCAGCTAGGTGGGCACCTAGGTGTCGCCTAGGTGATGGATCTTTAAAGTAAAAACCACATATCCTAGGGTAGTTCTCTAGGTTCTATAACCAGCTTTCCTTAATAACTATCCATAATTTTCATATAAACTTCATGTTTAAGTCTAGAAAATCAACATATTTATGAGAAGAAAAAGAAGAAAGAAAAGAAAATTAAAAAAATATAGGGGATGAACCTTTATTTTTGTTATAGGAAAAGAAGAAAAGAAAAGGTGAAAGAAGAAGAAGAAGAAATGTGTTGATTAGACAAAATTTTAAGTTCTTCCCTTATTGGTTTGGATTTTGAAGTCTTCGAGGGTTCAATACAGTAGTTAGCAATGTTTATGTTGATTAAACACTAACAAATAAGAAAATAATAAAAAGAATTTAGTTTATAAACACAAAAAATGAATATTTTTGTTTAATAATATCTATTTTATAATTATAATCTAAAAAAATAACAATATAAAAGTATTTTAATATAAAAATAATATTTATTTATATTATAAATAAAAAATATATAAAAAATTAATATTTTATTATATACTCCATTAGGCTCACGTGCCACTTGAGCTGGGTATTTTGAAGCTTGAACTTGACTCGAACTTGATTATTTGCGAGTTGAGTTTATGCAGCTTGTGAGTAGGCATGGCTTGCTTACACCTGACCTGTATTTGCTTGGTGTACTAGTGTTGGACACATTATGTACCTAATATGACACCTGATACTGCATGAACACTTTGAGGGGTGGTGCATGATCTCTGGACAACAGCGAGGACTTTTGATGTTAGTAATTTTTCTTATATTAGTAGGAATCTGAAACATGTGTGCTCATCGTTTAGCCATTCCTTCATGCCCTGTCAAAGGGGAGTGGATGGATGTTATTCCCCCCTTGTCTTGCCCTGGTGGTATGTGATTTTAGATTGTATTATTCTTGGTAACCTTTCTTGGTTTAGTGAAAATTAATTCATCGTTTACCAAACAAAAAATTTCATACTATAAAATGTTTGTATTTGGTAGAAGTTTAATTTGAACTTTGGAAAGATACAAGTATTGACTATTGAGAAATCACAATTAACTACAAAAACTATATATAAAAAATTAAAAAACATGATATAAGTATGATTTTTGGAACATACTACTTCGGATTGGGAATGGTGCCTCTCTTTGTTTGGGTGCAGGTGGATTCTCCTGTGAATGTACAAAGCATGTTTGATGCAACTACTTTCTCTTGGCCAAAAAAGAAGGGGATAATTATGTGTAGATTCTTAAGAGCTGCTACTATTTGGACGATTTGGGAGGAGTGGAGCTCAAGAATTTTCATGGATAAAACAAGAAGCAAAGAAGAAGTATTTGAAGCAATCAAAATAAAAGTGGTGCATTGGTTGAAGTCCTTGAAAGCAAGGTTCAAAATTTTGATACGTATCGGGCCATATCGATCGATACGTATCGTATCGTGGACTTCTTGATACACCCCTACAGGGGGTGTTGCGGGGTCTAACCTGGTTCAGGGGTAGATGGGCCTTAAACTGATCCCTCTGAACCAGGTTGGATAAAAACTAAAAAAGAAAAAAAGGACGTGAGCTTTGATACAGTCTGACACACTGGTATGGGCATTATCAGACTGTATCGATATTTTGAACCTTGCTTGAAAGACTTCTCTTGTGTTTCAGCAAATGATTTGCTGAGAAACTGGAGGGCAGTGGCGGATTCATCTGCTCATAAGGCTGTCACAGCTCATCACTGGAGCCCACTGGATAGAGGCTTTATTAAACTAAATTTTGATGGTAGTAGTTTAGGAAATCCAGGACCTTCCGGCATTGGAGGTGTATTTAGAGATGAGGAGGGCAAAATTATTGCACTATATTCTGGGTCGGCCGGGGAAGGAGATCCATTGAGAGCAGAAATCATGGCTGATAGAGACGGACTGTGGTGGAAAGAATGCAAAAATGGAATTTTCACTGTGAAATTCTTGGCACTGATAAAGGAGCAGATGACTGTGGATCAGGTGGAAGGAGTGGGGGGGGAATCCTATCCCTCCTAGGGTGGAAGCCTTCGCATGGTTAGTGTCGCTGGACAGGATTTTAACTTCAGACCACTTGAAGAATAGAGGTTTCTACATGGTAAGTTTCTGTTATCTTTGCTGTTTGGATGAGGAAGTTTTCCACCTGTTCTACATGTGCAAGATGGCTCATATCATTTGGAGTTTCTTCTACTTTTTATTTGGAATGAACTTATTTCAGCCTTCGTCTACGGCAGAGTTATTTTCCTCCTGGCCAAGACTTAATGGGTGCAAGAAAGCAAAGATCGTGTGGAGCTGTATCCCTTTTGTGGTCTGCTGGGTCTTATGGAATGAGAGAAAGAGAAGATTATTTGAGAACAAACAGAAGAACATTGAAGGTCTTTTAGCTTTGATTGTAAATCTGGTGTCAGATTGGGTTCTGGTGCATCCAGACTTCCTTCAGAGTAGCAGAACAGAGCTGGGGGAGAATTTTTGGGATGTTCTTGAGTTACAGTCTTGTAATCTTGATCAGTTCTGTTTTTACTGATTTTTCTAGTGTAGTGTAATCAGTTTGTTTTTTAGGTTGGGTGCTATCTTAACACCCCTGTGTTGTATGACTCTTTTCTATGTTAATGAAATTTTTATTCTGATTCTTCAAAAAAAAAAAAAAAAAGTAATGGAAGGCATACAAAGGACGAAGACAATGAGCATCAGCAAATTAAGTGTTGAGGGAGACTCAAAACTAGTGATCAACTGGCTACAGGATGAGGGAATGAAAATGTGGATGTCTAATAATGATAGGAAGAAATTCAGGTGGCTAACTAGAGATTAAGGACAGGGTGGGTTAAGTGGAGTGCAAAGGCTATAGCTGATACATTAGCTAAGCAAGAGGTGGAGAGAGACTCATTGTTTTGGGCACAATTGTAAGGGAATTGGGGCTTCTTGGGGGAGAGATAAGAGGTTTTATCTCTCATGAACCTTAAACTGTTTTTGAATCATCTGTACTTACCACTTTCTGCTCTGATTAATAAAACTTGATGTTATTGGTAAAAAAAATGATATAAGTATATTAATTGGGATACTTACATGGTTTTATTTCCATCGGAACCAAATTAGTTCCACCGAAATGCTTTCACTTCCATGACAATCAAAGTGAAACTTGGTCAAAGTTTAAGTCAAACTTAACTTTTGTTAAATTCCTTAAGTTTCATTGTTTGAACTGAAATACCACATATAGCATAAAAAAAATACATGACTTTGGTAGAAAATTAGAAGTCTGCCAACTGATTTTTTTTTTTCAAAAAAAAAAAAATGTATACTTGACTTTGGTTGATAAGTTTGTAGGATTTGGGTGGCTTGTTGTTTAGTCTTGCTTCCTTTCGGGTGATTTCTCATCACCTGGTTGTTTGTTCTTTATTTATCTAATAAAATTTCTTCTTTATTTATCTTCAAGAAAAAAAAATGTATACTTGAGTCTTGCTTCCTTTTTCTCTAATAAACTTTGATGGCAGCAGCCTTCGAAACTCAGGGCCTTCAGGAATAGGGTGTGTCTTCAGGGATATGGAAGGGCATATAACTGCTTTATTTTTGGGTCTGGTTGGATTGGGGGACTCTATCTTTGCCAAATTCCTGGCAGTTTTGCAAGGGGTACAGTATGCAGGACAGATTGGTAATTGAGGGAGGTTCTAAGCTGGTAGTGGCTGGTTGACAGATCCAGACACGGTTATTTGGACTTATAGGGATGCAGTGACAAGATTTAAATGGTTAACCTCTAATATGACTGTCAGGATCCTCCAGCAAAGGAGATCAGCTAATGGGCTAGCAGATTACTTAGCCAAGCAATGGGTGCATAGGGAACAGATTTTTTGAGCTCAATTGTAACCTGGTTTGTTTCTGAGGCTGCATCTTGTGCCTCTTCTTGGGAGGTTTCTATGTGCTTGTTCTGATTTATTAATAAATCTATTTTTTAGTTACCAAAAAAATGTAATAGAGAAAGGAAGAATCTTTATATCAACAATAATAAAAAAGGAACACGATTTCTCTAAAACATGAGAAAACTGACAAATAAAAAACAATTGAAATTTTCAAATGAGCACAAATGAATATTTTKCTTTGTTCATTTATGATAGAAGATGCATATCTTATGATTATGACTATGAATTGTTTATGTAATATATAGTTGGATATTAAGAATATTAAACATGCAGAATGACATTTCACTTTCTATATATTACTTCCAAATTTAAATAGTTGCTTTTATTGTATAATGAGTTCTGAATGCATATTGGTGTTTTCTATCTTTTTTTAGAGGTTTGTTGTAAATGTTCAACATTTTCATTGTGTTTACATATTTTCCATAATTTGGTGATGTTTCTGTGAGCTTTCATATACTTCTACAAATTAATTTAACATCTCCATGATTAAAATTTACACAGAAACTGAATTTCAAAACTTTGGGTGTTTTGCTTTAACACAAGGTTTGTGCCTTTTGCTTCAAGGCCTTCACAATGCAAGCATAGACTATAGCCTCAAGGCATACATTCACACTTTGAGACTACAACCTTTTTATAACATGTCAATAGTGAACTGTTACCATGCTAATGAAAATGTCTGTACTTATTTTCACTCTTTCTTGGTAAATGCTTATTTGGCTCATTGTGGAGAATGATGAGGGATAGTGCTTTTTAGGTGTTGCACTTGGCAGGTTTGTGTCTTGCTAATTAAGTATTTCTTTTCCTGATTTTGGTAGTTTATCCTTGTTAGTGTAGGGGTATTTCTGTCCTTATACCCAGATTAAGGTTGCTGATCTGTAATGTTGTGTTAGAACCAGTGCTCCTTCCTTAAATAAGGGCACATATGTCTTTTCAATTATTTTAATAATAAAAAGCACTGTCTGGCCGAATGGGAGTTATGTTCTTGAGACTTCCAGTTCGAACCAGACTTTCTCCTTTTCTCTCTCTCTTTCTCTCTTTCTTCCACCTTTCTACCTCTTTCTACATAATCGATCTCAGACAAATAGAACTCCAAGGCAGGCCGAATCATAACAATCCTCCTTCTTTCCTTTGGTAGTTTTTGGATAAGGCTTGGATGATGACAATTCTCTTTCTTCTGTCCTTTTTGGAATGGAATTACTTATCCCAAAAGAAATGGTACTTGTCATAGACATTTTTTATTGTAATTGCGATAAACATGCCAATGCTTGTTATCCTGATTATTTATTTATTTATTTGTTTGTTTTCTTTTTCTTTTTTTTTTGTGGGCATGAAGTTAGTCAGATTGTTCTAGTCTTTATTGTATCAGACTGTGCATTTTGATTATTCAATACTTTAATGCTTATTTCCTGATGTTTATTTCCCCCTTCATCTTGACTGAGCATTTTATGTATATTAGTGTTCATTGTCCTGATTATGTGATTGGTCTCAAGCATTGTACTTCTTCTGTAGATTTCCTTAAGATTTCTTATTTCTCAGAAAAAGTGTGGAGCAGTCATATTACTTCCCAAATCATGACTAGAATATTTGGATAATTCATATAATTTGGAAACTTGATGTTCCTTTTTGTTCACACACACACACACACATGTGGGTGATTGTGGCACCCCCTTTCTTACTTTCTTTCATTTTTGATTGATATGCTACTTACATTATATGAGCATCATAAAAGGGATGGATTCACTTTCCAGTTTTTGCATCAGTTGCTATTTAAAATGATAGTATGAAACTCATTTTGATGATTTGTTTCCAAATGAGTTTGCAGGTCCTTATCATTGTTGGTTGAATAAGCTTGAAGAGAGCAAGGAACTTTTTGACAGAAATGGAATTTTTTTAGTTCTTTCTGGTGCATTCCTTGACCGCTGCTCAATGTTGAGCAGTGATCATGTTGTTATGCTTGAAAGAGTTAAATTTCTTCAGCAGAGGTGCTTGAGAGAACTTGTATATCTCACCTTTTGGGGTTGTTTGATGACAACTGACGTGGTTGAACATAATGACTTGTTACTTTGGTTTTTGTGAAAAAATATATAAATAAAATATTTATTGATATAGTAATCAATCCAATATTCCATTTATCATTAAGGAGCTTGCAACCTATTTAATAGTTTATCCACTAAAAGACAACAACAATAAGCTGTTCAGTTCAGCCAATTTCAGCTGTCATCCACCTTCCCCTTAGACATGGAAGAGTTTCTAATTTAACAGGAGATCTTGTGTTATTTTATTTATTGCAGGTATCGACAACTCAATGTTTTTGGTTTTCAGCCTGTCAGTGCAGTTGGTTCAATTGCTAGTCACACATGTCTAATTTGGACAACCCTGAAGGAGTATATAACATTTCCTATCTTATTATCTAGCAAGAATTTTCCTGAGGTCAGGTACAAATCCTTGCTTCAGTGACTGGAAAAAAATTAAGAAGTTAGTTGAAGAAAACTTTCTATATTTGGTATAGAGTAAAATTGGTTCTTCAACTTAGCAGTAGTCTTACATAACTTGTATGCCTTAACTATGAACTGGGTTTTTTGTTTCTAGTTCTTGGAGATGCTAGATATATAGTTTGCAGCAGAATTTTCTTTTTTTTTTTCTTTTGGGGGTGGGGTGTTCAATGTACTAACCTAAATCCAAGTCCTCCTTGCTGATGTCAACAAAGTTCTTTTCCTTGTAGGATTTCAAGTTTGTGAAATTGTCGGGAGCAATGGTGAAGTAAAAAATTTTCTTGTTTTTTTTTTTTTTTGTGGGGGGGGGGGGAATTAAAGTGTTAAACAATAAAATGAGATAGGGAGCAGAAGTAGGGTTTGAGGGAAAATGGCCTGAGAAGGTTTGGGTCTATTACAAATTTTTTTAAAGGATTTTATTTTTATTTTTTATTTTGAGAGTTGGACGAGTGTTAAAGAGTAATCATTTACATTTTAGTTGATGTTTGGGGGGGGGCAAAAACCCAGTTTATTAGGTTTTGATCCAACCTCCACTTAGTAACCACATATAAATAATAGTTTTAATAAGGGTAAATTTCTTAAACTACTCTTGTGGTTTAGCTAATTGACTAACTCACCCTTACTGTTTACATATTATCTTAAAGTACCCCTACTGTTTCTGACAAATGTCTAAAACCTCCCCTACCATTAACTCTCCGTCATAAACCGTTCACATGTGACTTACATGACTGATATATTTTTCRAAAATCCCTAAAATACCCTTTTTCCATAGAGAACTCAGGGCACTGAGACCTGGAGCGGGTACTCTGTTATAGAGCTTCAAACCAAAGTACAATGGAACCAAAGACTGTCTTTTTCTTTTCGAACCCAATGCTTGACAAAGCATTAAGAAGTCTGCCCAAAAGCAGAGTTCCCATGAAGCTTGGAGAAGACCCACTGAAAGACCGAGGAATTCCGACAGTTGTGTGAAGACATCAAAGAGTTACCACGCAGTGAAAAACCATGGTGGAGAGTTTTCTAGTTGCATTGAAAAGGAATTATTCAATTTGTGCATCGGACTCTATTTYGTGGGATACCTGTTGCAACAGTGAAAAACTAAGTCCCCATTTGGTTTGCGGCAATAGGGGTCTGGAATTGGAATCGGAATGGGCTACTCCGGTTCCAAATGTTTGGTTGGGTGGATTCAGAATCCCATTCCATTCCTGCTGGAATGGCATTCCCCCTTTTGAGGAAATGGCCATTCCCTGCCCCTCCTTTGGGAATGAAATTCCATTCCTGCTGGTTCTAATTCCCATTCCCATTCCTGTCTGAACCAAACAAACTATGGGAATGGACCACCAATTCTGGAGGATTTCGATTCTGATTCCAAATCCGGAGGATTTCGATTCTGATTCCAATTCCAATTCTGACTACGAACCAATCGAACCCTTAGGAGTTACCCACCTTCCATGTTTCTAGGTTTTTAGGAGCTCCTCAATGGCCAGATGTGAACCAGAATCAATTCAACTAAGGAGCAGTAACACCGGAAGTTGTGAAGTACTGTGTTGAAGCTGCCTGAGATGATCTGATAGCTAATGCTAAATTAAACTGAACTTTTAGAAATAAGTTGATGGAATGGAGAGAAGAGACAGATTCTGAAATATAGAAGAGGAGTAGTGTTGAATTGAATCTCTACCATCAATAATTGCTGAAATAGGTGGAATTCTGTTAATCTTTGGCTCATCTTCATTCAATATAATCTTGTTTATATAACTTGGGCAGGTGGTTTTCCTTGCTGTTGCTTGGGTGTTTCCCTCTTCATCCTTGTCGTTTAAGTTTTGATGTAAGAAGTGGGATGTCTTTTTTATTTGAGATGTATGATAAATGCAAGCCCCACAACATTGATATGAGATGGAGGGCTTCTATAGCTTCTGCTTCTGGGTTTCTAGATGCCAATTCCTCTGTGAAATTATTGAAAACAATTTTGTGAGACTACGATATGTGACACTGTACATTAAGCCCGAGAGCAGCAGCACCAACCCTTGGGCGAATTGGCCAGCTTAGAACCCAATTCAACGTTACCGCCTTTTAGAGAGGAGCCGATGTTAATGGTGCTAGGATTTTCCATGTCTGAGTTTGTCAATGGAAAATCAGAGAGACCTTTTGCCTTTATAAAAAGCTATGAATTGTAACACAAGCTCTGAATTAACCGCAAATCCACGTCAGGTGGATTTGGTCAAATCTAAAATCTATGAACATGTGCAAAGCAGGATTAATAATCCTTCCTTTATTGTGTGATGATCAACTGGACCTAATTATAAGTACATATGCAGAGAAGGGTTGGTAATGATGGTGACGGCAGTGGTGGTAGGGAGAGATGACAAATGCACGATGATTGAAAACTCAGGAAGGTTCCTGAAAATTTTCATCAGTTGGGTTTTATTTTGAAAATTTGAGGAATAGTGGAGGACAAATTTGACATTTCAATTTTTTTTTTTTTTTTTTTTTTTTTTTTTTTCTGTTAGTGCCTAACGACGATGTCAATTGTCAGAAACAGTAAGGGTACTTTAAGACAATATGTAAACAGTTAGGGTAGAGTTAGTCAAATTAGCTAAACCATAAGGGTAGTTTAAGAAATTTGCCCTTTTAATAAAAGGTTTGGTGGGAGGGGGGGCAAGGACACCCCACCAAGATACTTGGCTCCGCCCCTGGTTTGCAGTACTAGAAATACTATTCTCAAATATCATTTCTGACTTTTTAGTCTTAAAAAGAGAAGCTTTTGGAAAACCAGCAGCATGTCTTCATGCTTTACAGACAAATTTTGGATGGTGTAATGATTGCAACCAAATTTGCGGATGCTAGAATCAGAAATGGAAGGGAAGGGCTGATGTGCAAAATTGACATTGATAAGGCTTAGGATCATGTGGAATGAGGATTTTTGGAAAGAATGGGYTTTTGTGAAAGATGGAGGAGCTAGGTGTTTGCTTGTATTTCTACAGTTTCTTTCTTGATGTTGGCAAATAGTGTATCAACAGAATCCTTCTAGGCATCTAGGGGCTTAAGGCAAAGGTGATTCCCTCCCTCCTTTATTGTTTGTTTTAGTAGCAAAGGTATTGAGCAGATTAGTGAACAAGGGAGCAGAAATGGAAATGTTCGAAGGTTTCAAAGTGGGCAGGGAAGGATTATCCATTACTCACATTTAGTTTGTGGATGATACACTAATCTTCTTGGATGCTTCAGTTCATCAAGTTTTAAGGTTGAGAGCGATTCTCAAATATTTTGAAGTCCTGGCTGGTCGGAAAATTAACTTAAATAAGAGTGCTATGATTGGAGTTGGAGATGGCTGAAAAGGAGAATGTAATGCATTTATGTTTTGAATGCTTTTTCTCAAAGTATGTTTGGGGATACTTCTTCCGCCTTTTTAATCTTGATGTTTTGGAGCCAAGATCTCCAAAAGAAAATTTTGCTCATTGGTCTATTTTGAAAGGGAATAGGAAGGCAAAAATTGCATGAAGCTGTTTTCGTTTTGCTAATTCGTTGGGAAATCTGGAAGGGCAGAAACAAAAGAATCTTTGAAGACCATTCAAAGCACAATGATGAAATTGTTTCAACCATTGAGAAAAGAATTCTGGAGTAGATTTTAATCTTACCTGAATTGACAATATAGTTGAGGAGGAGTAATAGGTGTGGGTGCAAGATGGGCGTCGGGGGAGTGGAGTTGGAAGATGAAACTAGTATCCTGGAATGTGAGAGGGCTGAGAGAAGAAAGAAGTACATTAGTAAGGAATGTATTAAGAAAAATTATGCCAGATGTAGTGCTACTACAAAAAACAAAGCTGGAGGTTTTTGATCTGAAAATAAAGAATGAAATTTCGGGTGCCAATAGTGGAAAATGGGCATAGGTGAATGCGGTGGATTTATCAGGTTGTTTAGCAGTCATCTGGGATCCAGGATGTATCATAAGTACATTAGGTGAATGCTGCAATTAATCTCCTCCACCAAGCATTCCTCTCAGTCCCAAATCTCCACAACCATTTACTCAGTAAGGCGGTACTCAAAGTTTTTAATTTTCTTAAACCCAAACCACCTTCCTCTAGAGGTAAGGACACCTGGTCCCACTTCACGAGATGAATCTTCTTTTCATCTTTCCAACCCCTCCAAAGGAAATTCCTCTGAAGGGCTTCCAACATTTTAACCACCTTGGCAGGGATAGGAAAAAGAGAAAGGAAGTAAGTAGGGAGGTTAGAGAGAGTACTTGTCACTCTACCTCCAGCTGATAAGTACTTGGCCTTCCAAGAAGCCAGCTTCCTTTCCATCCTTTCAATTACAGGTTCCAAATCGAAACAGAATTGCATTTAGCTCCAAGGGGCAGCCCCAGATGCTTTCCTGGGAGATAACTAACCTGACAGGCCAGCACTTCATCCAAATCTTCCAGGTTATCAACCTGGCCCACTGGGAAGATCACACTCTTCCCCAGATTTACTTTAAGCCCAGTCACTGTTTCAAACCAGCACAAAATTCCCAGCATAACTTCCAACTGATCAGGAACAGCATCAATAAAATACAGAGTGTCATCAGCAAACTGGAGCATGTGAACCTTTTCTCACCTGGACAGATTTCAAAACCATCCCAGTAACTTTCAGATGCAGTAAGTTTACTGAATTGAGTGAGCACTTCCATCAGACAAATGAAAAGTAGAGGAGAGAGAGGGTCCCCTTGTCTAATTCCTATAGAGCTTTCAAAGAAACCCGCCACTTGTCCATTAATCAGGACAGAAAATTTTGGAGAGGTAACACATACCTTTATCCAGTTCATCCACTTCTGGCCAAAATTCATTCTTTCCAAGACAAAATCCAGACACCTCCAGTTGACATGATCATAGGCCTTCTCAATGTCCAACTTACAGATCAGACCAGGTTTACCATCCCTCCTAGAGTCAATCAGCTCATTTGCAATCAA